ATTCAGACTTTATAGAGTATAAGCTATGTCATGCTTATTATCTACTCAGAAAGATTATTTTAGGCTGATTTTATTACTACATTTTTTGTTTATGTGTAAATATGCCTATGTGTATGGGTGAGTAGTGTGGATGTTAGAAAAGATAACTTGTAGAAGTTGGTTCTCTCCTTCAACCATGTAATCCCTGGGGATTGAATTCAAACTGTCAGGTCTGGCTGCAAGTCCCTATTTTTACTAAGCTGTCTGGATGGCCCAGGAAGTACTTTCTAAGAACTTTCTTAGGGACAAGGAAGGACTGTCAAAGGACTATCAGATATGTTCAGAGTTTAGGCTCTAATTCCAGGAAGCTGGTGACTAGCTGTGTTTTATTTAAGGCATAGATATATTACTGATTTTAGGAAAATAACTGTTTGCTCTGAGACTATTAAGGCCACAAATGAACCTTGTATGAGTTAGAAGATGTTCAGACTTGACATGGTGGTGCACACCTGTGGTCTTTACATGGGGGAAGCTAAGACAGAAGGAGTTCTCTGCCAGCTGAATTTATATAGTGTTCCCCCAAAACAAACAAACCAGACAACCAAAATACAAATATCCCTCTACTTACAACAGGGTTAAGTCTTGATAAACCCATTGTAAGTTGAAAGCATTCAAGGGATGGGGAGGTGGCTAAGAGGTCAAGTGTGTTCTCTGGAAACAAAAAAGTGTTCGCTGCTCAGCCAAAGGACCCATTTTCAGTTCTAAGTATCTCCTGTCAGCTCACAGCCTGTAATTCCAGCTTCAGGGGATCTGATGCCTTCCAGCTTCTGTGGGCTCCAGCACTCACTTGCACATACCATCACACGGACATAAATGAACAAAAAATAAATCTTAAAAGAAACGCTTTTAATACACATAACCTACCGTGCATCATACTTAGTCTTAGCCTACTTAAATGTGCTTAGAACACATATGTTAGCCTCCAGCTGGGCAAATCATTTAACACAAGGCTTATTTTTAAATGAGCATGTCTTATATCTTATTAATTACTGTACTGAAAGCAAGAGAGAACAAACAGGCTGGATGGGTACATTTTGAACCACTACAAAGTTAAGAAAATTAAATCAAACCATCACAAAGAGCTGTGGAGGTGTGTGTGTGGGTGGGGGTGGGGTCCGTTCGCTGGTAAAGCCTTATCTTGTGAGTTGAAAACCTGATTTTGAGCCCAGGAACCTATATAAAATGCCAGGAGTGGTATGGGGCAGAGGTAAGAGTATCTTGTGACTACTGGTCAGCCAGCCGAGCGTAATGAGATCGCAAGTCTCAAGAGTGATAGCATTTTTGAGAAAGACATCTGAAATTATCCTTTGGCCACACACATGTTCATAACCTGCATGCACATAAGAACACAGATACACAGGCACACACAAATTCTAAGTGGGACTCAGAAGGGATTTCTGTTCAGTACAAACCACACTTTGAATTGTGCAGTTTCTTCTTCTTCTAGGCTCACCGTCTGCAGTCCTATCTCAGGATGCTGGGCAGTGGCAGTGAGCCATAGCTCTTGAGTCAGCCGTGCTGTCACTAGGGGAACCACTTGATGCTTTACCAGTATGTGTGGCTAAACTCTGGTGTTCAACACATTAGAATAGTAAGTGTGTGCCACTCTCAAGGAGCTTGCTAGTTTAATTCATTGGTCTCTTTTAAAACAACGCTTCTATTAATTCTTTGAGAATTCTGTACAATGTATTTTGAACATATTCACCCCCACAACTCTTCCCATAACCACTCTGTCTACCATCCTGTCCCTTCTCACCCAACTTTGAGATTAGTTCTACTCTCCTCTTCCTCCTTTTCTCCTAAGTCCAGGTTTTGTTACCCAGTTAAATTTGGAGGTGGAGACTGCCCTGCTGTATGGTGGACTTACTGGGAGTCACATAATTAAAGAAAACAGACTCTTCCTCTTCCAACAGCAATCAAATGCCCAGAGTTCTTCAGCTAGCAGTGGGATTTCATGTCCATCTTCTCGCTCTATGCACAGATCTCCCGTGTGTTGTCACAATCACTGTGAGTTTACACGCGCGACTCCCCCCATCCGGAAAGCACTGTGTCCTTGATGTTACTGACTACTTCTTTTTTTTTAAGATTTTATTTATTATGTATACAAGTTCTGCTTGCATGTATGCTTGCAGGTGGGAAGAGGGCACCAGATCTCATTATAGATGGTTGTGAGCCACCATGTGGTTGCTGGGAATTGAACTCAGAACCTCTGGAAGAGCAGTCAGTGTTCTTAACCTCTGAGCCATCTCTCCAGCCCTACTGACTACTTCTTGCTCTTAGAATCTTTCCCCCCTCTCTGCTACAAAGATCTCTGAGGACCTGGAGGAGAAGTGTGATATGTATGTCTGATTTAGGGCCAGGCACTTCACAGTCTTTTATTCTCTACTTGTTGATCATTGGAGAGTCTCTGTGCTAATTGTATGGCAAGAACTTCTCCAATGAGAGAAGTCTGATCTATGGACTGAAACACAGTCTCACTCTATATTATAGACTGGCCTTGCCTCTGAATCCTGAATTCTGAGATAACAGATGCCAGCCACCACACCTGGTTAATTGGGGAAGGGAGAAAGGGGAGGAGGGCAGGGAGCTAATGACTAGGAGATCTCAATGCTAAGATGAAGAGTGTGACTTCCTAGGGAAGGATTGCGTCACCCAGATGCTTAGGTAGGATGTGGTCCAGGAAGATCCTTAAGAGAAGGTGACGTCTTCTATTGAGTTTAGATCAGCTGGGTGTGGTGGCACACACCTTTGATCCCCTGCACTCTGAAGGCAGAGACAGACTCATCTTAGTGAGTTCAAAGCCAGCCTGGTCTACAGGGGGAGTTCCAGGCCAGCTAGGATGACATAGTGAGACCTGACCAGAGGGGAGGGGGGCAGAGGGAGAGGGAGGGAGAGACTTGAAAAGGAAAAGTACAAAGACAAGGTGGGACAGGATGTTCTAGTGAAGGGGAGTAGACTGTTGCTGAGGCCGGGACACCACAGAGCTCAACCTCCCAGAACTGACTGTCCTCAAAGGTCCATCAGGGCCTGGGGCTGTAGTTAAAGTGCTACTGTTCACATTCTTATTGATATTATTCCCAAATGGGGACATTTCTATACAGGACACTTACATCATCTCTATTAGTTTTTCGGAGTTTTTAAGGTCTGCTGAGGTAGAGAGGTATTGTGCCTCCAGCTCACAGATGTGAAGTCAGAACCCTGGCATTGCCACGTGGCTCCGTGAGGCTAGGGGAGACCTGTGGAGCTGGAACCCTGTTCCTCATCACAGAGCCCCACCCCACCCCCACCCCCAGATAAGCTGCTCCTAAGCAAGGACTCATTGTACAGCTTCATAACTTTTGGACCAAAGAATGCCGTTTGTTGATTAAGAGCTGGTGGAGGTCCTAAGGCCCAGAACTTCTGTAGTCCTGAAGAGTAATCAAGCATACAGGCCTGACCATGAGACATAGCATGTGACATAGCAACCATGTGACCTTGACCAGGTGGTTCCTAGACCTCTGAGGCTCCGTGTTGCCCCAGCCAGCAGACTTAACCTCAGTTGGTCATGTTCACCAGCAGGGACTCCAGGCTCTCACTCAGTGGAAAACAGGACTGGAAGGTGGCATGTGGTACCACTCATACAACCACTACCCTGCCTGCATGCTCCCTCCCAGCCCAGCAATGCTGTTACCAGCAATTGTGTCACATTTGGGGGATCAGAGCATCTTTACGTATGTGGCTACACTCACCTAGTCTGGATCATCCAGCAGCAACCCCTTCCTAGGGACCTGTACTCTACCAGGAGGCAGAACCAGGCTCCTTGCTGATCTGGGACCCCTCAGTTCCTTCTCCCCCCGCCCCCCACATCTTTTGTCTTCACTAGGGAGCTCTGTTTCTTCTGTAAACACAATCTGTACCTGTAAATAACTTTCTTTCCTCTACAAACCCCTTAATTTTCTTCCAGCTCCTTGGTTTTGTGGAAAGCATGAAGCCAGGTTGCTCTGCTTGCTTCTGCCTTCTGCACTGTCCCAGACCTCTCATGATTATAGTTCTGAGCTAACTGTCTGATTGAAGGAGAGGAACAGAGAGGAGCCGACGGAGAGGTCAACCTGCTGAATCTCAAAACACAGAGTCCTGTCACACAAGCAAGAGACAACCAAGGTTCCCAAAACTTAGAAGTGGGAGAGGAGTGGAAGGGATGGACATGAGCTATGTGATGAAGAATTGTGCATGTATACAGACCAGTTAGGTATGGGGATCACAGATCAGAGTGTGAAGCAGCCCTGTGATACAAGCACATCACTAGAACACAGTAGTTAGTGACTGTCATTCTAACGTGACATTCAGTTACCGGCAGGTCAATAGCTTTCTCATCTACTTACTGTACTCAATGAACTAAATACAATTGAAGTGAACATGTATATATCTTGGGCTGTGGACATAGCTCAGCAGGTAAAGGTGCTTGCTGCCAAGACTGAGGACCTAAGTTCAATCACAACAGAAGAAGAGAGTTGATTGCCACAGCTTGTCTTTTGACTTCCATTTGTGCACCATGGTACATGGGCACTCCTATACACACACATAAATAACTATAATAAGATAAAAAATAATAAATATGTGGATTGCATTTCTTTCTAATTGCTGGGTTTGTTTTGGTTTGGTTTTGATTTTTTTCAAGAACAGCCTTGGCTGTCCTGAAACTCACTCTGTAGACCATGATAGCCTTGAACTCAGAAGATCTGCCTGCCTCTGCCTCCCGAGTGCCGGCTGGCACATGGTAACTTGGGGACAGAGGCAGGTGGGTCTCTCTGAGTTTGAGGCTAGCCTGATCTACAGAGCTAGTTCTAGGACAGCTAGGGCTACAGAGAAGCCCTGTCTTGAAAAAAAAAAAAAGAAGAACAACAACAACAAAGGAGAATGCTGCTCTTGCAGAGGACCTAGGTTAGGTTCTCAGCACCTACTTGGTGGCTCATAGTAGTCACCTGTAACTCCAGGGGATTGTGTCCTCTTCTGAACTCAGTAGGCAACTGCACACATACACACACTGAAAAATAAAAATTTAAAAATTATTTCTGATTTGAGAATTCCTTCTTTTTTAGTTTTTGTATTTATTTATTTATTTATTTATTTTACATGTATGGGTGTTTTGCCAGCATGTATATATATGCACCGCTAGCATGTCTGGTAACTATGGAGGTCTGAAGACATTGGATCCCCTAGAACTAGAGTTATGGATCATTTTGAGCCACCTTGTAGGTTCTGGGAACCAAACCTGGGTCTTCCAGAAGAGCATTGAGTGCTTTTACCTGATGAGCCATCTCTCCACCTATGGTCTGGGAATTTCTTAAACCTGTCTCTTGATAAGGAATGAGAGAAATATACATACCAAGAGAGTAAGAAACGGTTGGGGTGAGGGGCCCTGATTCGATACTAAATTATAACCAGCTGTGTTTATATTCTCTTAGAGGTGATCTTAAAGTCCGGGTGGGAAAAAGGCCAGATTGTGCCCTGTGTTGACCCAGCTAATCTGTATCCTTAGCATTGTAGGATAATGGGGAGAGAAGAGACAAGAGCCCAAGGGAATGGAGCTGGAGAAAATGACCCAATAGTCAGATGAGCCCCCCAGGGAGCAGGCTGCAGACCAAGACACAATGTCCCAAGGACACCCAGTACTCAGGCAGACAAGCGGAAGCTCCTTTGTTCTGGACCATCAGTTTATTAGAAACAAGACTGTAGTCAGAAGTTGGAGGTTTCAAAAACACCAATCAGTTCCTCAAAGGGAAAGGCTGACAAATGTGAACAGAGTGCTCAGTCACGTGGTTTGAGGGTCAAGGCAATATGTAGGAAGAACAGGAAATAAACAAACAAAAAAACCCATCAGGCAAATGCCCGTCAAAGCACCTGACAGAGTATGATCCTGTGGCTCTTTGTGATTGGACAGGAGGGAAACCATTTCAGGTTTCCTCAGCTGATTTTAAGGATGCTGTCCTCTCTCAGTGTTCATAGGAGAGTTGTTCTAAGACCCCTACAGATACCCAAACCCCAGGATCCTCATGTCCCCTGTAGACATGGTGTCATATCTGCACCAATGCTTGTCCTCTTGGGTACTGCAAGTGTGTCTAGACTATGATACTAATACAATGCATAAGCTTTATTAAACTGTATTGTCTAGGACAGTGCTTCTCAACCTTCCTAATCCTGGGACCCTTTAACACAGTTCCTCATGTTGTGGTGACTCCCAACCAAAAAAATTTTCAGTGCTACTTTATAACTGTGATTTTTGCCTCTGTTATTCATTGTAATGTAAATATCTGTTTTCCAGTGCTCTTAGGTAACAGGAGTAAAAGGGTCACAACCCACAGGTTGAGAAATGCTGGTCTAGGGACTAATGAAATAAAATATTTAAATCTCAGCCAGGTGATGCCTTTAATCCTTTTTTCTTTTTCTTTTCTTTCTTTTCTTTTTTTCCCCCTTTCTTTTGAAGACAGAGTTTCTCTGTAGCCCTGGCTGTTCTGAAACTCACTCTATAGACCAAGCTGGCCTCAAACTCAGAGAGCTGCCTGCCTCTGCCTCCTGAGTGATGGGATTAAAGGCATGTGCTACCACCAACTGGCTCCTTTAATTTTTAAGGATTTATTTATTTATATGTGTATATGTGTGTGCCAGCATGAGTTTATGTGCATAATATGCACGTAGGAGCCCTTGAAGGCCAGATCCTCTAAAACTGGAGTTGCAGGTGACTATGAGCCCCAATGTATGTTCTAGAAACAAAACCAGGGCTCTCTGCAAGAGCAATATCCACTCTTAACAGTTTCTTTCCCACACCCTCCATCTTGGTTTTTGAGGGAGGGTTGCTCACTTAACCTAGAGCTAATTGACTCCGCTAGGATAGCTTAGCAGGGACTCCAGGGAGCTGCCTACTTCTGCCTCCCCAACACCGTGATTATAGACATATACCACCTGGCTTTTGTGTAGAGTCTGGGATCAAACTCATGTCTTCATGTTTGCACAGATGCCACTTTTCTGACTAAACCCTCTCCCCAAGTCCTGGGTCTCATGTCTTTGCAAAATAAGTATGTTGGATTTGGCTGGGCATGACAGTGCAGGTCTTTAATTCCAGCGGTCGGGAGGCAGATGCAGGTGGATCTAATGTGAATTTGAAGCCAACCTGGTCTAGAACAATCCTCAACAGCCAGGACTGGTTACACAGAGAAACCCTGGCTCAGGAAAAAAATAAAACAAAATAAAAGAATGTTGGAGTAGATCATCTTAATCAATGAAAATTGTTGTTAAGCATGAGCCAGGCTCTGGCTTCCATCCCCCAGCCTGACCCCAAAGCACAAACAAAAAACAAAAAGAACAAAAATTATGATCACATTTTCAGAAACAAAATTCCAAGCTAATAATTTTATGAGTGCCAGATATTTAATATTGAAAGCGCCCGCCCCCAGAAAAGTGCAGGATGAGTGACCTCCTGAAACTCTAACACACTCAACCCCCTCCCCCAACTTTGTCCCAGAATGCCTGAGACCTCAGAACAGCCTTATCTCACTAATCTTAAAACCATTTGAGTGTTTACCCTTAGTTTTTGAACTCTTTAGAATTTAACTGGTCTGAGTTTAAAGATTCATGTGCACATTCCACACTCTTATTTAAACAAGCTGCAGTGATTACACAGCCACTTCTTCTTCTTCTTCTTTTTCTTTTCCCCTCCAACCCTAGAAGATTTTATCATAGTTTTATCTTAGGGCCAAGCATCCATACCTCCCAACTGCTTCTCATTGGAAAGGCCTTTCAAAGGCCAGAGGTCAGATCAGGAGAGTGCTGTAGTTCAGGCAGGTGTAGTAGAGGGTGCTGGGTAAATTTGGCATCACCATAACCAAATGTCCACTCTCTCCCTAGAGCAGAATGTTGTGGGTGAGGAGGAATGGGGTCTCTGGGCACAGTGTTTGACTTGCCATTGCACACAGTGTAGACAATAATTCTACAGTTGTGAACTCTCATCATCTGAGAAGTAGATGTTTAGTATATCTACAGCAATCTCCATAGTAGTATAGGAGACACGAAGGGAAGGGGTAGATTTGAGTGTACTGAGATTTGTTTTATTGGGTATTTGCAAGCATCAATAAGCAAAAATAACACATGAAAGTGCCTGCTGTAGATTAGGCATGGAACATGATGATATGCCCCCCCTCTTTCTCTCTCTCTCTCTCTCTCTCTCTCTCTCTCTCTCTCACACACACACACACACACACACACACACACACACAACTTAATGCAAGACCTGAAACTTCGGAGAAAGCATAAGGAGAATACTTCAAGACACAGGCATAAGCAGGCAAGAACTTTCTGGACAGGACTCTAATAGCAAGTGAATAACACCAAGCATTAGCAAATGGGATTGTGTGAAACTCACAAGCTTCTGGACAGTAAAGGAAATAACCAGCAGAACAAAGAGACAACCTGCAGAAAAGGGAGCACCTACATAGCAGTCAGGGGATTCCTATCTAGAACATCTGAAGAACTGCTAAAATTATCTCCTAACCAAATTATTTAATCAGTAAACAGCCTTATGAACGAAACAGACAGTTCACAAAAGAAGAAATGCAAATGGCCAAAAAACATTTGAAAAAACTGTTCAACATTCTTTTTCACTAAGGAGACTCTATCTCACCTTGTTAGAATAGCTATTATAAAGAAACAATTGACAGCAGGGATGCAGGAAATCAAAATCTCACATACAACAACTGTGGAAGCCAGTGTGGTTGCTCCTAAGAGACTAAATCTACCTCATGTTCCTGCTACACTGCCTGTGTGTGTGTGTGTGTGTGTGTGTGATGTCCATCAGCAGAAGAATGGACAAAGAAAAGGTGGTGCATCACACCCAATGCAGTTTTATTTGGCATAAAGAAAAATGATTTTTGTGGGAGATGGAGATTGTCGTGTTAAGCAAAAGCCAGAATGAGGAAGATGAATACTGCATGTTTTCGCTCATCTGTAGAGCCTGATTTGTGTATGTGTGTGGCTGGGGAGACAGACAGGGAGAGAGAAAGATAAAACTGAAAAGGGATCTTGAGAAGAGATCTTAAGGGAAGTGAAAGGAAGGAAAAAAGAGACTAATGGAGTACAAGTGGCATGAGAACAGAAATGGGGACTAGTTAGAGAGAGGAAGGTGACAGATAAGAGGAGTAAAGAGAAGATGGAGAAGTTCAGTGGAAGAGGGGATGAGTTAGAACAATGTATAATAACACATACATACAAAAATGGCACAATGAAAAATTAATTTAGGGGCCGCAGTGATAGCTCAGCAGCTAAGAACATGGGTTGCTCTTCCAGAAGACCTAGGTTCAATCCCCAGCACCCACATGATGACTTATAACCATTTATGACTTCAGTCCTGCTGGATCTGATGTCCTTTTCTGGCCTCCAAGGGTATGACACTCACATAGTATGCAAACATGCAGGCAGGCAGGCAAAATATCCATACATGCACTTGATAGTATATAAGCAGAGACCAAGGGCAATGCAATGCTCTGCATATCTTCATGACTGCTGGGGACACTGGAAAGATTCTACCTTGATCTTCCCTGTGTCTGGAGAGTCTTCCCCTGAATCCTGACCCTCGAACCAGAGATTACTATGAGAGACTTGACCCGACCTTCAGCTAAGATATATTACACAGGTGAGCAGCCTGGGGGAGATGATAGGTTTAGAACCATAGTTAAGAATTTAGAGTGTGAACTCTGTGTGATGACCCTCAGCATAATAAAATATAAATTTTGTTATACCAACTATGTGTGTACCTATTTTCTTGCTCACAGCACACACACACACACACACACACACACACACACACACACATTCACGCACACACACACACACACACCAACACACACA